TTATAGGGTTAATTCTAGCACCATGACATATCATTACAAATCCATTTTCATGTCACCCCACATACACACACCACCTCATCCACAAAACAGGAAAGGAAGACTGCTGAAAGCATTTGTTATATGCATTGTGTTACCTAGCAACAACTGCATGTACCTCCAACTCTATAAAAGGAAGAAACACAGATCCACAAACCCAAGGCAGCACAAAATACGCATTTGCATACATACAACAATGTAGATCTTTTATATCAATGTTCTTAAGGACATATACACATATGTTTCATATGGGTACATACAAAAGCACTCATACAACATGGAGTCTTTTGAAAATATTAACTAAAGATAACAACATTGCAACATTCTTCATGGCAGAGTGATAGGTATACCGGATGGGATGTGGAAGAATATTATTATTAATAAGATTATATTATAAAAGCAGATGCGATTCAAACTCAAAGTACAGCATATATTTGACAGTTTGCATCATTATCTTAAAGAAGTATATATATTGATAGATAGATAGATAGATAGATAGATAGATAGATAGATAGATAGATAGATAGATAGTTAGTTATAGTCAAAGTAATACTTTCCAAAGACTCAAAATTTGCATCACACTGTACTCAGTATACAGTAACTACATTGTACAACAAAAAACAAGAACTGCAAAAATTTGAAAGAGGACACACCACCTATGCTAATTTAAAGGCAAAGTCGATTTTTTTGGGGGAAAAAATAAATGCACAGTTCATTATAGAAATAACATGCATTTATTTATTTTTTTGCATTGGAGCCAGTAAAGCATTTGCAACTGCGATCAGTGGATCATGAGTGCAATGCTCCGGCTCCTGCAGATTCTTCCTCCTGTCCCTGTCTGTACCAAGGTCAGTGGACATTTAGTAGAATGGATGCTACCACGGTTCATGTGACACCCTGAACATGGGTCCAAACATGGTCCAAAAGGTAAAGTTAGCCTTTCAAAAGTACTGTAGCTCAAATGAGTGAAAAGAGAAGAAAATAAATTGGGTGAATAAAAGGACATATATAGAGATATGTGAATACCAGTTTGCTGAAAGTCACATTCACTGCTTTATAAATATGCTGCTTTGGGATGGTAAAACCTTCTACTTGCTTGCTGTTGATTTGTAAATCTTATACAGATTTGTCAATGCTCCTTATAGTGGCCACCTGAGAATTTCATGTAAATAGCTGTAAAGCTAAACTACAGGTAGATTTTTTTAAACCCCATTTAATCCAGCTATAAATATGAATGAAAAAAAGGCAGAGCCAGCTGTGATGTCCCGGCTAGCTCTGCCCAGTTTTAATGACAGATCAGCATCCCCAAATGACCAGGGGACGCTGAACTGTCATTAAACAATAACAAATGGGCAGAGTCAGCCGAGACGTCACGGACGGCTCCGGCCCAGTTGTTATTCATTGAAGAATGGCACCGAGTAAGCCCCTAGAGCTTAGGCTCAGCCGATCCAGATGTTGGATCGGCTGAGTCGAAGTCCTTTTGCACTTCGGCTCATCAACCTGGCTATGCTGCCTTACAATTAAAATACGTTGGCAATTAGTTTATGTATATGAATTTTAACTTTTATTGGGCTGTGCGTTCCTATTAAATACACCATTAAATACACACACAATAACCATATCAAGTATAATACACTAGTTATAATTTTAACAAAACTCCCATCACAAATCATAATCCCAGGTTTTCATTTCAATGCCCCACATAAATGTTTTACTTTTACAGCTGCAAGTAGCTTGATGTGTGCCTGTCCCCCATGGAGATTGTGTTAATAATAATCACACATCTGATGGGTTACTACAGAGCAAAAAATGGCTTCTGAAGTTCTCCTTCCCTTGTCAGCTTTCCTCCTCTGTCTGCTGGTTGGACAATAAACTGAAGCAATAATATACCAATAAATAAACCATGTCCTAACACCCTAACTAAGCTGCTGTGCGGGTGAAATAATGCTCAACCAATCAATGACTACTGATGAAGTCATCACTGACAAAACGCGGAGTAGGCAGAAACACGCCAATGTCATTACATGACCTGCAACCTAGAAGTCCCGCTGTTATAGAGCTGAGGCAGTGTGTGGGTTAGCTGAACACATTTCTAGCACTTTATATTGTCAGTTTCATTTTATATGCTCTTATTAAATAAATGCAACAATTTTATGATATGGAAAGTCTTGCTTCCTCTGTGTTAATGGTACATATAAAGGGAACAAACATGGGTATGGTGGAGAGAGCCCCCATTAAGTAAATGGTGTGGATTGATGTTACTAAGATCTTTTTGACCATTATTATTGATGGTCAACACCATTTGGTGAGTTTATGTATTTCAGAAAGAGTAATTACTACTGTACATGTGGTTTGCAGCATTTATGGACAGTATGACCTGTTTGATTTTAATATAGCAGGAAATATGACATTTTTCATGATCTGTTTTGAACTGAAGATGTAGCTGGACCGAACATTATGGACACTATGAACGGGGACTGTTTTTGAATTATTTATCTAAAGGATTGAGTGTTTGTAGGTAATATTTTTTTAACGGATCTGTTTTGCACTATTTGCACTTTGATTTGATGACTTTTATTGCACATTCTGATGTATTAGTAGTAGTTTGTTGATTCATGCACATTCATTTTTGCTTTAGATATTTATTTATTTATCTAATTCGTTTATTTATATAGGAGAGCAGTGCGTCTTAAGATATATATATATATATATATATATTAAATAGTTGAATACTGTTTTACCTGCACATCAGCTTTAGTTAGGTTGCTAATTTGTTTAATTTATATAGGAGTATAATTCATTTTATAATATGCAATAAACAGCAGCAGATGAATGATGAATTTATGCGTTGCTCTTCTCTTCCGTAGGCATATTACATTAGGCTGATAAAACATAAGAGCCTTGATTGGCCGACCGTCTTAACCCTTCTCCTACCTGTCTGATTGCTGCTGTGCATGAAGAAGCAGGGGATTACTGAAGGCCAATATGAAAATAGATCCTGAATCTTATTCTACACTGGATGGGTTTCAATGGCTACTCTTGGACAACCACCCATTGTTATCACCATTACCTGAGAACAACAGTGTGCTGGAGAGCATAAAAGAGAATACAGGGTTAGCACCTGAGTCAAAGGTGAAGTTGTGCTTCAAATGCTAGTTGAAATTCTGCTTTAAAATAAAGACAAACCATAGGCGTATGCACACGGTGTGCACACCCTAATCACCCCCATGCCCATCTTTAACGTGGGGAACTTGATCTGGACCCATTCATTTTTGTGGGCCAAAAGCAGCTGCCCCTTGAGCCCAGCGCTCTCCCCTCTCCCAGCCAAAACTCAGATGCTCCCCCCTAATCGTTCTACCAGACATCAACCTGGGGGCCGTTTCCTTGGTAACAAGGCTGAGGTGACTGCAGTTTCACCCAACCTTTGGTAAAGAGAATGGATGAGGAGGGCAGTGATTGGTTGGTGTAACCAGGTGTGTGTGTGAGATACTCACTGTGATTGGAGAAGAGGCTTATCAGTCTAAGAAAGCCTGCAGTTCAAAGTTGGGATGCCCTGGGATGAGGGAAGCAAGTGGGTGAGAGTTGGGAGATACTGGCTGCAGTCATGGTGAGACCCCCAATAATGTGTCTAAGTTTATATATAATATAATATACATTTTTGTGAGTGACATTCTGTGCTGCATACACCCTGCCATGTTATTGAAGTCCCCTCTGTGCTACCTGTGTGAGCACTCATGTAAGAAACATGTCTTCTCAGCTATCATATGCCAAAATTTCTAAGATATATTAATTTCCCAGAAATGGTAAAAGTTCAACTTTTCTGCTGTTTTTGGTTAATTGTCTGTCACCCAAACTGGTGTATGTGTGTACTGTAGAGTCATTAAATTGTATGCTGCTTTGGGGACTACTTGGTGAGCTGCTGACCTGGAACAAGCATGGTGGCAGTGAAGTTGGGGTATGGCTCATGTTTGGGACATTTCCGCTCACATTTTTAAAAAAATTTCTATAAAGTGGGAAAAAGAGTTAAAATTTGTCAGGCTTATATTTCTGTTCGTGACCTCATTGTGGAGATTTGCATTCACTTCTTATGCCAGTGAAACAACAGGAAGTGAGAAGCAATCTTTCCAAAGTGAGGAAAAATCTGCACTTAGAGAGTTGTCACAAAACAGGCATCCTGATTGGAGAATACTCTCCTGCTCTGGTGAGTATTATAACATGTTGGACTCACCATCACTCTTTGTCCTATTGACAGTTGTCATAAGGACAGGTAGGACAGGTAGAGTGGGTGAATCTAGATACAGACAGCAATAAAAAAACATGCCCCCTATAAGAAAAAAAAACATTTTATGTCTGAAACTCCACATTGTGTTTAATCCTTTTCATCTAAATGAATAATAATAATTAAAAAAATAAATACATGGAGTAGAGGAGGGCATAGCTCACAAGAATGACTCACAAAACTGTGCATATTTATTTTGCATCACTCACCGTGCATGACCTGCAGCAGTTAGAAATTGAACACTGTATCGTCCTATTTAGAGGCAAAATTAGTAAGAAAAATTCAGCAGTTTTAATATCTTATATTTAAATGTCTCTCTTTGAGGAGAAAGGTCTATCAGCTGCATGGAGTTTAGGGCTGCAGCTAACAATTATTTTCATAATCGATTAGTTTCCCAATTATTTTTTAGATTAATCGCTCTCTCTCGCTCTTCTTCCCCCCCAACTAATCGATAATGAGAATAGTTCCCAACTATTCTCTTAATCGATTATAATCGATTAGTTGTTGCAGCCCTAATGAAGTTAGAACACTTTAAACCGGTCTGTGTCTAGACACTAGAGGTAATTATTCTGCCCTCCTGTACCTAGAATGTTATTATGACTTTGTAACATTAGTCCAGACAATGCCTGACTTGCTGCATGAAGAAGCTTTCTGTAGCCAACAGGTTCTCTTGACACAAGCTTACCAGAACAAAATTATCCGGATGTTCCCCCTCCTCCAGAAAGCTCTTGCAGATTTCCCCCAGTATGGGTATTGACTGTCCTGAAGCATCATATCTGTCACCTGTGCAAACAAATACATTGTAAATGTTGAGGATGACCAGAGCCACAACGAAATACTGTAATAAATTAACCCCCAATAAAATGCCCTATAAACAAATCCTAAAGTACAAATCAAGCTAATGAGGGAATTTCGCCTCATTTAATTGTATGGTCACCAGAACAGAATGTGATGGGGAGTCTATCCAGCAGGGAAAAAAGTGGACAGTATCTCTAATGAGAGCAGAACAAGTAAAACATATTTAGTAAGATGGGGCAGGGTTAGGAGAATTCCCTTCATTTCATAAGTTAGTACCAAAAGAAGAAGTGAGGGGTATTCTCCCCAGAGGGGACACACAATCTGAGATATATTCGATCACTTTCCTTTTGGAAAGACTGGAGATGGCTGAAGTTCCAATCTAAAGTTATTTAGCATCTGCACATACAATATAAGTAATCCAAATAAACTAACCTCTCTTCAAAATCATGTACAGCATCCTACAGTGACCTCATTAGTAAATGCTGTAATTGGTCCTTATTTCACTTAACTTCTCGAATAGCATGTGTCAGAATGCTGATGACGCCAGCCTATATACCTACTTTTTGTAGTAGTAACATGGAGGGTTTGGCTCTTCTTACACCTTCAAAGTAAAAACTACAGGACCCCATCATGCTTTCAACTGACGTACTTAGGAGGACTGAAGTTCTACCACAAAAATAAAAAGGTGGCCATATGAAATTATTTTGTGTTATTGCTGTGCCACTCAATACCAAATTTTACCAGAATAAATCTGTAATAGAGATCTCTAGAGAACCAAAGACATGCAGGATATTCATTTTTAGAGGAACAAAAGAACCAGCCAGGTTATGATGAGGGAACTATTAGGAACCAATAGGGTCACTGTAATGTTGGAGTTTACAGTTCAGTCCTTGACTCAATATTGACAGGTGGCAGATGCAGCTCATCTGGTATAAAGGCTTCAGAACTGTATGCAATTTATAGGCCACCTGCCACTAACATCCTAGAACATTTATTTTTTTATATATAGATATTTAAATACAACTCCAAATGTGAAGCTACCACTGCTTGGAAAACACAATGAGGTAAACAATCGAGTCACCTTGTTTTTATGCAATAAAAAACACAAAGACATAATATCAAAAATATCAGTTATTTGGCTAGTAGCTATATAAAAAATTGTGAATGTGTTAATTCGGATAGAAAATGTTAAACATTTTGGCAAAATATGCCATTCAAAGAAGAGAGAGCAGAGAACAGACAGATGGTATTTTACTGTGCCAGTGACTGCAAAAGGTTTCTAAACAAATACTTTAAAGTAGGAGAGGAGAAAGTTATTTAAAGTGAACCTGTACTAGGGTTAGTAAACAACATTGTTTCTTGAACAAACAACATGTTGAGAGTAACTGTGGTTTTTGTTCTTGAAACTCCATTCTGTCCAATTCATTTTTGAATGACATTCGTCAAGTCTCTGATGGCATTATTGAATATTCTGATACAACAGAATTAAAGCCCAGCTTAAGGAAGGCATAGAACCTCTGTCAGGTTTTGATTGCAGTCTGTGTAACCCCGGGAGATTCAACTTCTCTTATTTGTCGTGGTGACCCCTGTCTCCATCATATACATGGATGGGAAATCCATAAATTTAAGGTTTTCATTGGAACAGGAGGTAAGGGGAAATCTTACAATTGGGATACATGTTCTGGTGACATATTTGTTGTGCCTCACGGACAGAGGGCGGACACAGCAAAACATGATGGTGGTTCCTACCCTTCCTTACTCTATTTAAAACTAAAGAAAATAGGGACGTGGCTTGGCACATGGAGCGGTGAGACGTGAATCGGCTCGTCTCCCGCTCGTGGGCACCTTATCAGGCAGACAGCAGCTGCTTTTCCCCAGGCATCACCGGCAACCCGGAAGAAGAAGGGAAAAGCAGAAACGAACGCGTCCAGCACCGTGGGAATTGACCCGTTTTTTTGCCCGTATTCAATGACTCCCCTATACTGCTACTACCGGATCTATCAGGTAACACGCTTACTCTTCGCAGGGCTCCGCGTCCTCTACTTGACCTGCTCCACCAACGCAACATCAAATATAGATGGGGTTTCCCCTTCCAACTTATTGTTGTGCATGAAGGCAAATTGTCCGTTTTCAACCCCATGGGGGACCTTCCATCTTTACAAACTGGAACTCCCTCAAGTCACGCTTCCAGACTGGCCACTTAAACGGACCCTACCTGGCTTTGTATCACCACCACCGTGGATGCAGAAATCAGGATAATCCGCCGGGCGAACGGAGGCCTCGTCATCTTCTAACACTTGACTGTTGGCCCACTTGCCTATACCCTCCTTCAGCTTCGGTGTCTCGGACGGGATGCTTTTATGCGGTGGTGACTGACTCCTGACGCTCACCGATTGATGCCCGGTGCCCCACCTGGGAAGTTTGCCGTGATTGATAACCACGATCGCTGCTGTCGTTCATACTGTTATATATTGTTATTACGATAGTATACTTAATGCATCTAGTTTTCTATGCCATAATTTTCTTTGTTTTTCCTTGTACCCTTTAGCTACCATGTTTGCATTATGTTCACGTGCCCTGGAGCGGGAGAAGCTCCCTCTGCTTTCCATGTTACCCCCACTTAGGTCGTCAGTGAGTGTGTTCGCTGACATTTTGAATACCTGTAGTGTTTACTGGACCACACGTTGGTTCACCAAGATGCCATTCTCTCCATCCGCCAATAGGTGGCGGTAGAGCACTTATTTCCTTATATATCTCTTTTTCTTCCTTTCTTCTACCCGCTTCTCTGTCTCCCCTCTCCTGGCTCCCTCCCTTCCTTCCCCTTCCCTTCCTTACCCCGGGGAGGTACACAATGCAGTGTTAGAGCTGCTTAGGCCCCCATGATGGCTACCCCCCATATTGCTCTGGCGACCCTCAATGTGAGAGGCTTTAACACCCCTCAGAAGCGCAGTCAGGTGCTTTATCATTTTCATAAACACAAGGTGGGGGTCTTGTTCTTGCAGGAAACTCACTTCCGCAGTGATACCACTCCCAGAGTACCGACTAAATATAATCCTGATTGGTATCATAGCACTAACTCTGTTGCACGGTCCAAAGGTGTTTCTATCGCCTTTCACAAGACTTTGCACCCCGAGATCCTGCAACAACAAGCGAATCCTATGGGCAGATTCCTCTTCCTGAAAATAAAACTTTATGATCATGTCTATACTCTGGCTAATGTCTATTTTCCAAATCAGGACCAACTGACCTTCCTTGCACGTCTCGTCACGGCTCTTGAGAATTTTGGATGTCCTAACCTGATCCTGGGAGGAGAATTCAACCTCGCACTGGTGCACTGTCTGGACTCCTCTTCCGGCAAGTCCCATCTCTCTCACACGTCCCCTACTAAAATCAGAAACTTATTACTTAAGCTCAGACTGGTAGATGTGTGGCAGGCCCTCCATCCATCTGAGAGGGATTATACATATTTTTCTCCAGCTCACAACTCATACAGTAGGCTGGATCATTTGTTCCTTGCGCAGCATTTACTTGATTCGACCCCTTCTACCAACATTGGTCTCCGCAACTGGTCTGACCATGCCCCCGTCTTTCTCGCTCTAGGTGTTCCTAGTGTTAGACGCACCTGTTTCTCGTGGCGACTAAACGACAACTTGTTAAACGATCCCCTGTGCCTAGATGAGATCAAGACATCGGTTCGGAATTTTACATCGGACCATGCCAGTGATAGCACTCACCCGCTGACCCAATGGGAAGAGCTTCAATGCGTGGTTCGAGGCATTTTTATAAAACACGGTTCTCACCTCAAGAAAGCTAGAGCCACCCGCGTTACTGAGCTCCTGGCCTCTATAGCGACATTGGAGGGTAGGCATAAGTCTACACGGCTTGATACCACCTTTGTGGAACTATCAAATGCCCGACGGGAATTGTTGTCTATTTCGGACTCAAGATCACGCATTGCATGAGACAGGGCTTGTAAAGTTAGATATGAATCTGCTAACAAATGTGGACAACACTTAGCTAGAACATTACACCCCCGCCTTCCACGGGCATTTATCCCTTTTATCCTGGACCGCCAGTCTTCTAAACTTCACTCCACCCAGAGCATTACAAGTGAATTTCGTAGATATTACTCGGGTTTATATAACCTTCCTACCCCTCACTGGACAGGATAGCCGGAAATTACCCTGACTCTCTGGCCCACTGCATTGCGCAAACTGCACTGCCGACCATAGAGCACATTGTCTCACTGGAGCTGGAATCTCCGTTTTCCCAATCTGAGGTGGACGCGGCTATCCGGACCCTGAAGACGGGTAAATGTGCAGGCCCGGATGGCTACTCGCCCCGGTTTTACAAGGTGCTCTCTGATCTGGTGTCCCCAATTTTAACACGCACCTTTAACTCAGTAGACGATAAGCACCCTTTTCCCTCTACTATGCTGGAGGCGAATATTTGTGTTATCCCCAAACCCGGTAAGGACGCTTCCCTATGTCAAAACTTTAGATCGATATCACTACTTAACGTTGATGTTAAATTATTCTCAAAACTTCTGGCGCTCCGTCTTTCCCCATCTTTGCCGTCCATCATTAACCCGTAACAAGTCGGCTTCATACCAGGGATCTCTCACATTCAAAAACATCACACTAGGGCATGCTTACTATCAATTGATGCAGAAAAGGCATTTGATCGTGTGGACTGGAGGTTCTTCAGCCAGACTCTACTCCAAATTGGTATGGGGCCGACCACTATCTCCAGGATCATGTCTCTCTATTCCTCCCCCACGGTAAGGGTAATGGTGAATGGCTCGTTCTCTGAGCCATTCTCTATTTCCAATGGCACAAGAAAGGGATGTCCTCTCTCCCCACTTGTCTATGTTATAGTAATGGAACATTTGGCACAGGCCATACGCTTGAACCCCGATATATAAGGGATCCCCACACCATACTTTCATCATAAGATGTCTTTATTTGCAGACGACTTACTTTTGT